TTGATAAATGATGGATATCGAGTCCCACTTTCTTTCAAATTCGAAGGTGTTATTGTTCTTGATGAATACTCGAGAATCTTTATTCCGGCTATGATAATTTTCTCTTAGTCGTCCTAGTTGTCCTGATATTTGGCCTTGGCATTTGGACTCTTAATGGTTAGTCCATGAATTGACTATATGGTATCACTATTACATTGTATGTGTCCTTGTTTGTCGTCTAAGCGATCTTAATTGTTTAGATGGTCAGATCTAGGTTTGGTCGCATATATCCTATGCCTAATGTCTAAGCGATGAGATTGTTTTCGTGAGAGTAACCTAACAAAATTTCGGGGACGAAATTTCTTTTAGGGGGAAGGATTATAACACCTCAATTTTTGTTTTCAGAATGATTAGAAAACTTGGAGTGTTGGAGTGTATATTGGACAATTGTCGTTTAAGCGAGAGGACCTCGCCCAAGTGAGAGGCAAGGTCTAGTATGAGTTTTCTAGGAACCTCGCTTAAGCAAGGAAGTGGTCGCTTTAATGAGAAAGAAATCTGGACAAGATGCGAAATTCTAGCTTGAGTTAGAATTCTCGCCCAGGCTAGAGAGGAGCCTTAGCAGACTGCCTGATTCTCGCCCAAGCGAGAGAATCCTCGCCCGGGCGAGAGCGTCAGAGTTGAAAAGTTGAAAAGCTGAGAAATTCTCGCCCAAGCGAGCCATTCTCGCCCGGGCGAGGTTGCACAGTTATAAAAGTGAAAAAAGGGTTTCAGAAACCCTAATCTTCATTTTTCTCTCCCAACGGCGACTCCACCCAAATGCACCATTCTCCCCTCCACTAAAACTCAAAAACTCATCAAAACCTCTTCCTCTTGCTTCTTAGTGGCACATTGGAGGGCTTTGGAGATGAAAAAGGAACATTGGAGGTTGAAGGAGATGAATGGAGATATTTCTCTTTTGCGGAACAACGGAGCTTACGCAAACTAAGGTGAAGGAGAAGACCATTGTGGTCTTAGAGTATTTCATTAGAGTCATCTTCTCCGATTTCCCTCAAGAATCAAAGAATAGTAACGGATAGAAACTCTCTTTGAAGTTTATGGTCCATGTGAGAGTCTTTATTTTCCATGAAGAGGTATTAGCCATAAATGTAGAGATATATGTGTAGGAAAACCGTTTTATTAGATGAAATGCAATATGCTCACTTATGGTAATACACCGTCATGGAAGATGGTTCTATCGTAATTATGTTATATGATGATGAATATGTTGTGAGTTGTTTATTTGTGATGAAATGACATGAGTATGTTTATGATAATGATTATATTGTGAGTGGTTTATTTGTGGTAGAATGACATGATTATGTTATATAACAATGATTGAATTGTGAGCTGTTTATTTGTGGTAAGAGATGAGATAGATATGATTATTAGGACATGGTTGTCGTTGTGGCTATTATGGTGAATTAGTGATTATGAATTTGATGTGGTATTTGTGTTATGATGAAGTTGTGATATGAGGATAAAATATTGGAAAGAAGGATATTTTGTGGGTTGTGGTAACGTAGTATTGTTATATTGTTGTGTGGTTGTGTTGGTATGAGCATGATCTAAGTGGTTTGTGTGAGTGAGATGAGGAATGTATAAATTGTACGTGGTATTGGCTCTTTCAGCAATGACTGACTTGCCCTTTGTGGTATTGGCTATTCGTAGCAATGATTGACTTGCCCTTCGTGATATTGGCTATTCGTAGCAATGACTGACTTGCCATTCGTGATAATGACTATTCATAGTAATGACTGATTTGCCCTCCGTGGTATTGGCTCTTTGAGCAATGAATGACTTGCCCTTCGTGGTATTGGCTATTCGTAGCAATGACTGACTTGCCCTTCGTGGTATTAGCTCTTTGAGTAATGACTGACTTTCCCTTCGTGGTATTGGCTATTCGTAGCAATGACTGACTTGCCCTATGTGGTATTGGATTGTTGTACAAGTATTGTATTGCTTTGAAAATTTGTGTACCGCCTTTGGGTATGGGATTGTTGTTGTGTATTTGCGGGTAACTATGATAATAAGAATCTTGATGAAGATGGAATTGGATAAATCGTGTAAGTAAATTGTAAAGGATGTTAATTGAAGAAGTAACTATCCTATAATATGTTGTACTGCTTGGTTGAATTGTCTATGTGAAATATGATAATTATATCGATTGAATATGTAAACATTATGTGGTTTAAGGTATTGACTGGTGTATAATTGGTATATGTTTACTATGATTGATTTTAGATGTTGTATCGGTTGTAATACTTTAACGTTATTGCTCCATGTAACTCCACGTCGCGGTCACCATAGTTGTTTATTACTCCCTTTTGTCTCTTCTATGTATGTGTTATGTATTGGAGTTCAGGTTGAGGCTGTAGTGTATTGGATGCTTGCTGAGAAGAGTACAAATTATAGTAGTTACTTTATGTATTCGAAATGATATTTGGTTAATGTATGTAATATGAGAACTAGGTTGAGTCAACTCTTGTGTAATTGAACCTCTCCTAAATGTGTAACGAGAACGGTATAATGATTTTACTAAGAGTATTATTTGGGAAAGGATAATTGTATAAAGTATGAATTTAAGATGAAATGTAATAACATATATTTTGATGGAGTGATATTATTGACTATTTCCGCATTTTGAATTAGGAAACTTAACTAATGATTGAATTCACTAAGATTTTCCTATCGATTAAATAATATCTTTCAATAAGAAATCACTTCACTGTCATGAATAAAGTTTTAATTTTTTTTGGGCTATAAAATCGGGTCTTTACAGGTTGCCCTGGGAGAATCTTTCCCTCAATTCAGGCCACACTTCATATGCTTTATCTATCCATAATATGCTTTGTGCTAATGAGGGGAAAACTGACCTTGAAATCTATGAGATAACTATGTTGTTGGCCCTTTCCCATGCTTGATACAAGGGATCTGTTTTTAGTGGCATCTTGACGCTTCCATCTACAAAGCTTAGTTTATGTTTCCTAATTAAACACATACGCATAGACCTTTCCCATTGATGGTAGTTCTCCCCATTGAGGAGAGGAGATACTAGAGCAATGGATGAATTTTCTGAAGGATGAACAAAGAAAGGAGAGGTTTGATCTTGTGATGGTTCCATTGGAGAATCTTGATCTATGAAGGTGGTTAGTTGTTTTTGTGAAGAAGGAAGGAGTATGAGTGTGATTTTTATTGAATATGGCAGATCTATTTATATATAGCACTGATACCATATTAAATAATAAAAGACTTGATGAAGCTTTAAATATGAGACATGGTAAAAAGGAAATCAATTCTTATTATGATCCTTAATTGATTAATTACATGGATGAATGACGATATTTATACACAAAATATAATCTAATCTAATTCCTAATGATAAGCCTAAAATATCTTAATGATAAATGTTATAAATGAAGATAATATTGGTTGCTTTTATGCCAAGAAAGCTCATGCCCATTCCTTGTTGCACCTGACTAGACTTTCTGATGAGGGGACTGAGCAGTGATGCGTGGGTCTGAATCTGCGGGGCTGCATCTAGCTGACCGAGATTCTTGGGTCGTGGTGCGTTAGGCTTGGCTCGTGACCGAGTCTGGCTTTTCGTCGTGAGCATGACTTTTGTGTGGCATGACCGAACCTGACTTTGGTTCGTGACCGTGTCCTGCGTAAGCCATGACCGAGGCTTACTTTGGCTTATGACCGAGTCTGATGTGAGGCGTGACCGATACTGACTTTAGCTTGTCCGAGTCTGGCATTGAGGCGTGACTATGCCATGAGTATTTCTGATCGAGTCAGGCAGGCTTTATGTCTCAGTCAGATTTGTGGTTTCCGACCTTGGTTGGTCAATCTTAACTAATATTCTTTAATCCTTAAGTTAATTCCTTAAAAGATATTCATGTTTTAAATTAATTTTAAAAAAGTTTTATATTTATTTAGATAGTCATTATTAAAAAAAATATATATTAATTTGATTACGGTTTACTATTAATTAATATCAAGATTTTGTTTTTATTATTTAGATTATTAATGATTGCTTATTATAAAGGTGCTTTGAATAATTTATCTAGGGGTGTTTGAATCCAGACTGATCAAAAAATAAAACAAAACCGGTCCAAAATTGATCGGAATTGCAAAATAGAATGTGTTTGGATTGTATTTGATTTATTTTTAAAGACCGATCGGCCTTATCTGGTTTTCTATTTTACCTTTTGGATCCAGACCGAATCAAAATTGTTATTGTTGTCTTGTTACTGTTGTTGTTGTAGTTGTTACTACTATTGTTGCTGTTTTCTTTACTGCTGATGTTGCAATTTACTTTACTATTGTTGTCTTGTTGTTTATTGTTTTTTTACCGTTGTTTACTTTTAATATTGCTAGAGACTTTTTTAATATGGCTTTGATGTTGTTGAACATTATTTTGTTTTGTTGTTGTTTTATATATGCTTAATGTTTAGAAGAAAAAACGATCAAAGCTAAGCTGAAACCGCATATAATATTTGGATGAGATTGGATCAAACATCTTAATATAAACAAACCAAATCAGACCGCATATTAATTATGTATTTGGATCGAATGATTTTTTTTGCCTAAAAAACAATCTAAATGGATCACAAACACCCCTAAATTCATCAATCAATCCTACCAATCAAAATTTTAAAAAATTAAGTTAGTTACCCAAGCTAATAAATAATAATTTGATTTTATATTTTTTCAATAATGTATATTAGAAGAATATTATAAACTTAAATAACTTTATTACATTTCTAGAAATATATTTTTAATTATTTTTGCATAATGTAAGATTAGTTATAAATAAAACATTATATATTAAATAAGATAAATAAAACAATATAATAAATGGTTGAAAATTTTGATTTTTAATTATCAATGTCTTTAATTACTCCATTCAATTATTATTTAGTAATGAATAAATAACTAAATTATTATTATATGAACTTTTTACTCATTTTTTCAAATTTTGGTTAGTTCCAATTTCCAAAGCTAGTTTTCCTGAAAAATTCAAATTTAATAGGTTATCTATACAACTACAAAATTTTACTACTTCCGTACAAATTACAAGCTCACAACTACAAGTTATTTGTTCATGACTATACGCTAAAAACTCACATATACATACTAGTTTTGGCGAACAAACCGTGTTTCCAACATTTTGAGTGCAAACAATAAAACTGTCATTTGGACATTTCTTATTTTTCACTCCTTTTAAGAATTATTTCATGAAAATGTTTTCATTAATACATTACCTTACACATTTTCAATTTTATTTCTTATTTTCAGTAAAAAAAAAAAAAGGAAATGGGCAAACCAAACATACCCTATTTTTCCCATTTTATTTTATTACAATCGAATATCTGACCATCTTCTACACTCAGAGATCTGGTAAAAATGCTACTCCCTCAATTAGATACTTCAGGTCATCAATTTTGCCTGACATAAAATCCAACTGGTTAATAGAAAATTTGAATTCTTTTTGCTTGATTGGGAATGGCCAAGACGCCAATTTTTGGAGGGATAATTAGATTGGGGACCCTTGGTTTAGTCCTTACGAATCCCAAAGAATCTGCATCACTCTCTAATAACTTATGTTGTTGACTTTATTGATGAATCCAATTGGGTTATTCCCCAATTGTTGATTAATAGGTTTCCTTAATTATCTAGTATGATATCTCAAATAACTATTTCCAATGCCAATGACAAAATCATGTGGAAAAGAGACTAATAATAACATAATGAGGAGAAAACACAAAACTTTAAGGCCTAGATTCATAAACCTATAATAACTATGGAATTATATTCCAAGAAGATCTGAGTAAAGAAAACATTGAAAATCACTTGAGTCATTTTGCGAGTTTGGTTAGAAAAAGAGAGAGGGTTTCAAAGTATTTTAAGGCTCTCAAGTCTTTTCTATTCCTCTATTAACAACTATAAACCAACTCAAAAAACAAACTACCAAACAGATCCTTAAGTGAACCAAATTGAAATTTTTTTGTCAAATGAAAGAGTGAGTTGTGAAGACTTACCGATATGAGATTATGAAACTAGAGGCAAGAGGTTAAGTATATGTGATGATGGTGTTGTTGTGATAAGGTAGTGGTATGATGTGAATGCACTACAAACAACAAGGGTGCTTTTCTGAGTGATAATATGGTGGTTGCTTTTTCATGTTGGAATGTCTTTCCCCTCCATGTTTCTTAGTTAACATAAAAATGTTATTTTATATTTTTATTTTAAGTAGATGTTACTTTTAATTAGATTGGAAAACAATGAGACATGAAAATTGGAACAGTTAATCCTCGTTTAGTTCAATCATTGGACATTTGTATGAATAAAATTTTTAGTTTACTAAAACATTTTTTCTTTTTGTATAGTTATTTTCTATGTAAGTTTCTAATAAAATAAACTTTTGGTAGGATTTATTTTTAGAAGTATTCTGAGTGACAAAAAGCATAGTGAGAAACTTACATAGAAATTAACTTACTAAGAAATAAGTTATTTTCTTGCACCACGTCATCAATTATTATGCCCACTAGGCTTGAAGATGTGGCTGCAAGAAAGCTATAATACCATCACAATGTGTCTATGAAGGAAGATCTGCTACCCATTTGTGTCCCGAACCAACAATTACACGGTGTCATTTAATTGGAAGAAAAAATTATACAAAAATATAAAATAATATTTTATATTATTTAATATAATTTTATTTGACGAGATAAATAGACATAATCCATTTGGGACACTCGTTTAAAATTGACATCACTAGCACATCAATTTGCACTACCTCCTATCAACAACTACCACAACAGCTAGATTGTGAATTTTTAATTATTTTATTTTTTAATGTCTTTATTCTATTCCCTAGATTGAAAATAACATTGCTCAAAATAGAAATTAAACAACGCTTTTTGATGCTGTCCGTAAGGACCCAGATTTTATCATTGAAATTTTTTTCTTATTATAATCCATTTATTCCTACATTCTTCACTATACCTTAACTACTCAATATTCATTACTTAAAACTCTGTTATCATACTAGACTACAACACTTCTTTATATAACAGAAAAACATAATTCATATATTTCTTTTCCCGCTAATTACCGCATACGATTAGCTATGGGGTTCCAAAATACTAGTTATCCAATATTACAAAAATGTAGAAAGTCAATTAGTTAGGATTACAATCATCCAAGTAGCAATTTACATCACAAAAAGTAAAATAAGGATTTCAAGTTCTAAGCTCCTAAAGCCTCAAACCAAGCATCCTCAACTATTCTGTTTACCTGCAATGAGATTATCAACAACAAATACATACAACATATAAAGGAGTAAGTCATTAACCAAATAAATATTATTATAAGATAATCCGCATTTTAAAGGGGTTAGTAAACCATTTTTAAATTCATTTCCGCTACATAACTTGAGTCAAAGTATCGCTACATAATTTGAGCCAAAGTATCGCTACATAAGTTGAGCCAAAGTATCGCTACATAACTTGAGCCAAAGTCGCTAACCATTCATGGTCGGCTAAAAATGTATATTCTTTGCATTGATACACAATCAATTCATAAACAACATTTCCCACGTATTCTTTCAATACGATATGCAATTGGTTTTAAGAATATTTAACTCTAAGTTGTTTACTTAACCTTAACAAAATGTGGATTAACGTACATTGACATTTATTACCACCATTTTACTCTTTAACCACATTTTCAATTTAGGGTTTTGGGGTTTTCATGAATCAACCCACAAACCCTTTCCATTCTTGAAATACCAACCCTAAACAAGGAGTTTACAAGAGAAAAACAACATAAAACGAACCATAACTCAAAATGATGAGTTTTCATGGTTTCTCACATTTTGAGAAGAGATCCAACATATCCAAAACAAGTTTCAAAGGAAAGAAGAGAGTCAGAATCAAGAGTTTTGACCTCTTCTCAAGCTTCAAGATGAGTATCAAGGCTCCTTGCTCTTGATTTAATTAGTGTAAGACTGAGATTGCAACTAAGAGGGGTGAATTAGTTGTTGCAATAAGTATGACCAATTTTTCTGCAATATCAAAGTTAACGTGTAGCGGAAATAATATGCAGAAAAATATTGACTTAGGAAGGATAAATAAATAACAAAGAGAAGAGAAAGAAAGTATGCAGGTGTTTTATACTGGTTCACCTTCTTGTCCATCGAAGGCTACATCCAGTACTCTTGACGCGCAAGAGATTCCTTTATTAAATATAATGAGTTGCAATTACAATTATCTCACTCCGAGATCTCCTTTTACCTTACACACTCACTTATATCTAATCCCCTTGGAAAACTCTATTCCAAGTAACACCCTTGGTAAACATTATACCAAGTTACACCCTTGGTAAACACTATACCAAGTCACTCACCATTTCTCTTCACAACCTTGTGAAAGAAAGTAAACTTTGCAAAAGTGAAGAATGTACAATTTGGCTTGGATTGCATTACAAGTGTATATGACAATTTCTATAACTTGCAATCCAATAACAACTCTTATACTTGAGATAATAATGCTCTTTAACAATTTGAAAAAAACTTAGAAGCAACTTCAAAATGACTTTGAAAGTTTAAGAGTAGGTTGCTTGAAAAGTGTACGTAAAATCAGAAAGTTTGAGAGCTTTTTGAAAGAGAGTTTGAAATATGAGTTGTATATATTGTTGTATTTTGTGAGAGTGTTTCAATGTCGTTATATAGGCTTCCAATCAACAATAATACCCTTAGGCATGAGTAGGTTTCGTTTGGAATGAAAAGCAATCAGTTTGAAGTGAAACCTTTTCACTTGAAATCAGAAAAACTGATGCAACAACTCTCAGTAATCGATTACTGCAAATGGTTAATCGATTACCCAAGAATCCTGTTAACAGCTTTTTGAAAATTCACACAGTGTAATCGATTACTATATTTGAGTAATCGATTAATCAACAACACTGTTTGACAGCTTTGTGAATTTGCCTTAGTGTAATCAATTAAACTACTTTGAGTAATCGATTATCCTGTTTTCTAAAAATGGTAATCTGTTACTCCAAAGTCTGTAATGGATTACTCATAGCTAGCTGTTAGAAGTTTTAAAACTATTTTCTCACTCATGTAACTTGTTACTCAAGTATGGTAACCCGTTACATGTTGTTTTTGAAAATTATTTTTATTCACACTTAGTTTTTCCTGATTTTCTTGAATACAATTTTGAGCATTATTAACTAAGTAAATAAAGGAGTTGTAAGGATAGAAGTACCTAAAGACTTAGACTCTAAATCTTGAAGCTTTATCTTCGATAGTCTTTGTCGGTCTTCTTCCTTTGTTCTTTTTGTGATATTGGTGTCTTCATCAAAACCGTGCCAAGGTCAGGAGCAAGATCTTCTTCACAATAGGACAAGTCATACATGATGCGACATAGGACAAGTCATTCTCAATACCATCTCGGGCAAGTCATACACGACTCATATACGTAATCAGAAAATCCACACATTTTCTATTATCATATACCATTAATCACTTCTCCTTACCTCGGTACGTGTCGGGGTTGGTTTTGGGTAACTTTGCAAGTTACTTCGCTACCTCCTCCAACCTTAGGATCTTTCATTATCCCCACCACATAACAATAATGTCAGTCATTTATTCCAAATATCACATAAATAACTTATATTGCATTATTCAACCATACAAGATATTCATCACATTTTCAATGTTTCTAAACTACTTTCATCATAAGTTTACAACCATCTAAAACATACATATCCATCTCATATTTCAACATTAGAAGGTTTAATCATCTTCTACCTCTAGCATTTTACCCATTTTCCACTTTAACCACATTTTCACTTTAGGATTTTGGGGTTTTCATGAATCAACCCACGAACCCTTTCCATTGTTGAAATACTAACTCTAAATCAAGAGTTTACAATATAAAAACAACATAAAACGAACCATAACTCAAAAGGGTGAGTTTCCATGGTTTCTCACATTTTGAGAAGAGATCCACCATACCCAAAATGAGTTTCAAAGGGAAGAAGAGTGTTAAAATCAAGAGTTTTACCTCTTCTCAAGCTCTTAGATGATTCCTAAGACTCCTTGCTCTTGAAAACCCTTTTTCTCTTTACTTCTCTTTAAGTTATCCCCCATAAATGTGTTTGGGGGTCCCTAATAAATGCAACAGCGTCGGGTTCTCGCTTAAGCGAGCCCATTCTCGCTCAAGCGAGAAAATCCCGCCTATTTTAAAAAAACTCAAATCTGACCCTCTCGCACAGGCGAGGCATCTCTCGCTCAAGCGAGGATCCTCTCGCTCAAGCGAGAATCCTCTCGCTCAAGCGAGGATCTTACAGCCTCGACAGGTCCAAAATGTCACTTTTCTCGCCCAGGCGAGACCACTCTCGCTCAAGCGAGACAAGTCTCTCTCACGCGAGAATCCTTCAGTATAGCTCAGGATTTCACCCTCCCAGGTGAGCCTTTCTCGCCCGGGCGAGAATCTCTCGCTCTAGCGAGAATCTCTCGCTCGGGCGAGAATCTCTCGCTCGGGTGAGAATCTCTCGCTCAAGCGAGAATCCCAGGACTGATACTATAATTTTAAAGACTTAAATTTAGGGTGCTACAGACACAAACGTCGACACCACCGTAGGCACACTAGTTGGGGTGGATATGACCAAGTCGAAAGGCAACGACTCAGTTTGAAATTTCAGTCTATCCATGCATTCAACAAATAGAAAGGAGTGTGTCACTCCGGAATTAAATAACACTAAAAGAGGAATACCTGCCACCTCACCATTACCTTTAATCAGGCCATCCACATTCGACGCCTCCGCACCACTCATGGTAAACACTCTGCCAGTGGATCGAGGTCGTTCAGCCCTCACAACATTTACACTCTGCCGTAACTTAGGACAATATCTCCTGATATGCCCTGCCTCCTTGCAGTGAAAGCAGCTAAGTGTTGTTCTGGGGCATAAGTCACCGACATGAGTTCGGCCACATTTGCCGCACATGCATGGAGAGTTTAACTGTGACCCTCCGACATTGACCTGAGTCCTCGGCCAATGCGAAGTATAACCCC